TAATTTTGACATTTATTATACCAGATGATTTATTTATTTAGAGAGACGAAACGAGCAAGTTGAGGTTAAAAGTAATCGCTGGGCATCACTTAGCTAAGAAAGATATTTTTGGTGCAAGCGATCCTTATGTACGTGTAGACTTGAACACAATAAATGGCGATCAGACAGTGGATTCTGCACTTACAAGAACTAAGAAGAAGACATTGAATCCTGTCTGGGAAGAAGAGTTTATATTTAGGGTAAGTGGAGTAAGAAGAGGAAGAATTAAAAAAAAAAGTATTTTTTCATAGATTTTTGGTGTTATTGTAATATATATTATTAACGTGAACTACCTTTTGGCAGGTTAAACCAGTAGAGCATAAATTGGTCTTACAAGTTTTTGATGAAAATAGATTGACAAGGGATGATTTTCTTGGTATGGTTGAGTTAACATTGATTAATTTACCAAAGGAACAAGAAGGTCGCTCTATTCCTGCTAGGAATTATGTACTTCGTCCACGTAGGTAAGTATTTTTTGACGATTTTGCTTCATGCTACATATTTTCCAACTTAATTTTGTATATTACACACCTTGATCTAATTTACATTATTTACATCTAGTTGCGATACATAAGTTTGGTATGTTATAACTTTTAATCAATTAGCACAAGGGATAAATTATCAATTATAATTTTAGTCGCTTTAATTTCAATTTGCAGTAATATGTATATAATTTGAATTTGACTATATAATTAAAAAAAATATCCAATTGTATATACACTTTACATTAATATTATTTTATTGAAATTTGTTTGTGCTTTGTACTTTTTTATTTGCAAATGCAAAATGAATAACTTATGAGGATATGGCTAGTAATCATTCCAGTCAGCGGTCACGAGTTAAGGGAACGTTGGAACTGTATCATGCATACATTTCCGACTCATCTAGTATCGAAAATGACAACGGAGACGTATCTGATTCAGGCGGATGGGAATTAGTACAGCCAGAGAATAACAGTCCAGTAGAGCAAAGTGCAGATGTATGTACATAATATAATCTATTGTTGTTATATTAACTTTTCTGTACTAAAATGTACATTTTTTACAATAAATGTTTAGTCTTTTCATACTTATAAAATAAGAATAAAGCAGTTCTATATAATTTTACGAAGTTTTAAATTTTAAAATACTTTTGCAGATTACGATAGTCAATAGGCCCTTACCTCCGGGCTGGGAAGAAAGACAGGACGCAAATGGCCGGACATACTATGTTAATCATATAGCGCGTTTCACACAATGGGAACGACCAGAACCGTATGTGATATAATGTTTATTAGATAATTATATTCATTCAAGTGTCTATAGTATCTATATGTGAAAATGTTATCTTATTGTAACACAGAGATACAACAGCGACGAGTGGAATTGTCGAACAACGTAATTTGGATACGGCAGCTACTGAATTTCAACGGCGATTTCATATTAGTGCCGATGATGAAGGTAGACATAGGAACTCTGTAGTAAATCAGGTAAGTTTAATAGTGTTTCTAATTAAAATTTTTTAAGTTGCTACTTTTGCATAAATGCAACATACATGTCTTACATAAACAACATATTTAATATAAAATTATACTACAAGTATTATATTTATTAATTATACTAATTTTTTAAATATATATAGGAAAAGGTTGCGTTATTAATGTTAAATCCACTTTATAATCATGTTTTGTTTTGAATAATTAAGATTGAGTTATTACTTAATGTTACTGACATTATATACTGTATTTGTTTTAGAAAATTTTTAAATTTGTTTATTCATCTTTATGTATTATAGTAAAGATAAAAAGATGCCTTTTAATTATATTTCTAAATAATTATATCTTTTTGCATAAAAAAAAATCGAAGTTGCGTAATAATATTCTCTGCTTTCAAATCTCCATACTAGCAGATGTTATGTTTCCTTTTTATTTATTTATATTTCACGTAAGATACATGTGTTCATACACACACACGCACAAAAATCTTAATATGTAATGAAATCATTTATGAAATTGTGTATAAATATATTGATTCAGTGGCGCATTTGTATAAAAATACAGGCACATGTTAATTGTATATTATGTTAAATTTTATGAAATTATTTTATTATAAGTTTCTTTATGATGTTCGCAAGAATTTTTTTGACATTTATTTATGAGTTTTTGTTATTGCATATTTTTATCCATATAAGAATGTGTTTAGCAAATAATGTAGTAAAAAATAGGAATATATTTTGAATTAGTAGAGGTAATATTAGCAATTTAGCGTTAAACATTAATAAGATTTATTAAAAAGCATAAATAGCTTCTTCTTAATATGTTATTAAATGGTTAAATAACATTTTTAAACGTGTACACATTTAAAATTTCGGCATTAGTACATCTATTCATACAATTCGTATGATTAGCATGCAGTATGTAGAAATTTGTGCATGTGTGTGTAAGGATGGTGAAGTTCTACGCGAGGACGATGAAGATTCGGAAGCAAGAGATTGTGAGGGTGGGGATCATAGGGGAGGGGGTATTGGGGATACTTCTTCAGACTCTGGACGTTCAGTCGATCAACGTGGCTACCTTAGTGAATCTGAAGAACAGGTATTAATATACATAAAGTTGTTATATTCATTTTTAGTTGAATGTAACGCTTAATACGTATATATTTATATGTGTGTGCTTGCTGTAAAGTGAATAATAGCATATGTAAGTTTTATTTCATGCATCAATCCCATTTGACGTATTCAACTATGATAAAGCTAAGTCATATAAATTACATAAAGATACATATATATTCTAGTTTCTTTATACCTGTTATAACTATTATAGTTACATTTATTAAAAACATGTTATTGAATAGGATGTGCAAAAGCATATATAGAAATAAACAATAATAGAAACCAAAATTGCACTATTATTACATAATATAACATAGTAATATTGAATTTATGTAATAATAGCGCAATTACTATAGTCTCATTAGCCCTTTCTCTTAATTTATTTATTTGCATATATAGAAATATTTATATATCTATTTTTATTATATATCTT